CAGGTGCTTATGCCACTGGTGCTTATCCCTGCAGGCAGGTGCTTATGCCACTGGTGCTTATCCCTGGCCCTTTCTTTCGAAGAATGCTGAAGTCTCATTTTTTTGTTCTTGTTTCATTGTCATTTTGGGGTGTGTGTGTATGTGTAGCGGGGATCTGAGACAGTTTTGCTACATAGTTCAGAGTGGCCTTGAACTCACTATGTACCTCAGGCTGACCCTGACCTCCCAGCAATCCTCCTGCCTCAGCCTCTCACATGCTGGGATTACAGGTGTGTACCATATACCCAGTGTACTTGTTTTTGTTGTTGTTTGAGACAGTCTTACTATGTAATTCAGACCACCTTTGGATTCACTATGTAGCTCAGGCTGGCCTCCAACTCATGACAATGCTCTGCCTCAGTCTCAAAAGTGCTGCTGGTATTAAATCCTCCTGCCTCAGCCCTGTGAGTGCCACCATGCCTGGCTGAAGTCATGTTTTCATCTTTCTTTGACCCATATTTTATATGCAATAACTAGTTTATATAAAAAATTTTATTTTGGGAAAGTATGTGCATAAAAAGCCACTAAAAAAATTCTTAGAATTGAAAGAATTGAGATAAACTAATCCACTATCCTGGACAATGTTAAGAAGGAAAAACCTTTCATTTTAAACTACATCATTTTATTTACTTTTGACTATTACCTTAGCACCTTAACCAACCAAACAAAACTTGACCATATGAAGTTAGTCCTTGAGTGGCCTAATGAACCACGCAGACCCTAGACAACCAACTTGCAAACATGCTGTTAAAAAATGGGCTGAATAGGGACCAGTGAGATGGCTCAGTAGAATAAGCACTTCCCTAGCAAGCGCAAGGGCCTGAGTTCAATCCCCAGTTCCGCAAAAAAAAAAAAAAGACTGAATAATAAGAAGTGGTTTTAGGAAAAACTTTCCATCACTACTCAGAACCCCATTTTTATACACATCACTATGCTGTACCACCTCTGACTTTGTATATACTGTATTATGAGAGCACGCGAGTATCTAAGTACCCTTTCATCACCGCAATTACAAAAACCACTCTGGCTGAACTATTTCACACTTACACAATGCATTAAATGGTCTAATATAGAATGCAAAGCACTCTGCAGGGTAACTGCCAAAAAATAAGAGCTAGACAGAACTCACAGGCGCAGCTTTACTAGGCACAAAAGAGTCGATGTCCTTTTTGATGATCCTGCCATCTGGTCCCGTCCCTGGAAGAAACACATCAGCATCAGAGATACAGCAGCGGGCCGCTGGATGGGGTCAACACTGTGGCCAAGTGAAAGTTCTTACAGGTTTGTTACCAAAAGCAGTCTGAACGGAACGGATCACCCTGCACCAAGATTCTCCCTCAGAATACTGGCTGTTGTTACTCATTTTGACTCACACTATCCTTACTCATTCTTTTTTTGAATTACTGTAAATATTCTTTTATATATTTCTCTCCCCCCTTTTTCTTTTTCCTCTTTTTTATTTTGTCTTTTTGAGACAGGATCTTGCTATGTAGTTCAGTCTGACATTGAGCTCACTTTGTATCCCAGGCTAGTCTCCATCTTGAAACGATCCTCCTGCCTCAGCCTTCTGCGTGCTGGGATTACAGGCATGTACCACCACACCTGGCTTCTCTTTTTATTTTATTAATTATATATATTTTAAAAGTTCTTACTTTTAAATTGTGAAGTACTGACATAGGATAATGCTGAGGACAATTTACACATCTAAAAGGAAAACTAGGGCTGGGGAGAGGCCTCCGCCTTCTAAGCGCCTGTGTGGCAAGCGCGAGAACCCAGGTTCCACCTCCAGTACACATGCTGTGCCAGACGCATGCCTTATAGTCTCGTAGGATCACTACGACTGCGCTGCAGAGCAAGACCCTGTACCAAAATAATTAAAGAAGGTTTTAAAAGAATAAAAGAAAAACTACCTGTCCCTTTCTGGTTAGCTTAAAAAACCCCACCTTTCTTGAACCTTAAAATAAAGTCTCACTTGGGAATAAAAGGATTCCCTTATATATAGTTAACAGATATGATAATTTCTCTAGATAAATTGGGCAAGTCAGTTGTTTCACCCCAAAAGAACATAAATTACATTACAGTTATCTCATCTTTAGACTCTTTCATTCTCCATGTTTTCATGTTTTTTCTGCATGGGGAGGTTGAACTCCGTCCTTCACACTGAACTGTATCCCCAGCGCTTTTCTGAGACAGGGGCTCACTACATTGCTCAGGCTGGGCTCCAACTTGCCGTCCTTCTGCCTGAGGCTCCCACAGTGCTGGGATTACAGGCAAGAGTCACCACGGCTTGTTAACTTCCTATGTAGTCTCCACCGTTCACAGCTTTCCCACAATAGCACTAAGCAGGACTACGGTAGAGGCAACAAAGGAAGCAAGTGCAGCGCCACCTATCAGAAAGGACCTTCCAAGTTTTCTCCACAGGCTTAATTTTACTTTTCTTCAATTTCCATCCTTCCTCCCATCTGTAATTTCTTAGGATTAATTTTAGACCCAGGGAAGTAATCCTGACCTTGAGTTCTAACCACTTTTAGAATTTCAATATTATAATACCTTTTATACTGGCCTATTTTAGAAAAAATTTGATTAGACTGATTCATCTTCCCCCACGACAAAGTTCTCCGAGGGTTCTTGTGTGCAGTTCTTCCCAACCCTTTCCTTCACACGAACACTGAGGCGGCAGCACCCCCACTAGCTTTCTCTCCTTTACCTAAGACAGGAACCTCCCTCCCTTATGACCAAGGCTGAGCCTGACAGCACACGGTGCAGCCCCTGAAGGGAGGAATCTGCAGCACAACCCGCCCTGCTCAGAGAACCTCCTGAGCGGGAGCGAGCTGACACCTAAGTTTCATTCATCTCCTGAAGAAGGCACAGAGGAAACCACAAAGCCAGGAGGCAGAAGAACCTGGACTGAGCAACACACTTGTAGCGTTCTTGGGAAACACAAACAAGGGGCGGCGGAGATGGCTCAGAAGAGTAAGTGCTTGCCTGGCTAGCGCAAGGGCCTGAGTTCAACCACAAAAATAAATAAACAAACAGATAACACAAATAACACTTAATCTTACTACAGTCACATAGTCTCTTGCGGTTTTCATTCTCACAGGCAGGATGCTTATATGTAGTATCAGCCCCTGGCACAGGAGTGTGTAAAAACAGAAATCGGCTATTTCTATGAACACTGCTTTGCATCAGAGAAATGCGAAATATATGAGTAGCTTTCAGACTAAGACCATCAAGCGTTAGGCCTTACTACAGGATATCCCTACATCACATTCATACGTACTTTTTCTCCCTAGCAACATTAAACTCTCTGGTGCAAACAGACTTAAGTGAGTATAGTTAATCTGTCTTAATTTGTGCTGTAATTTGTCTTGTACGGAGGTGGCTGACTATATACTATAAGTTCAGAAACAGACACAAAAAGTTGTACATAAATTCAGCTGTGGGCTGGGGATATAGTCAGAGCCAGGAATACAGCCCAGTGGCACAGCCCCTGCCTGCCTGGCAAGTGCAAGCTCCCAAGTTTGGTTCCTACTAACAACAACCAAAAAAAAAAAAAAAAAAACAATAAAAATCAATTGTTTCCTTTAAGTTCACTTTCCTAAACTCTGAGAACAGTGCTTTATAATCTAACCTCCACATTCCCCACTCAATCTCCAGCTGATACTTTCATTTCATACTTTATTGGTCAAACAACTACAAACAGGGAGAAATCCTCCTCAGAGTCTACCACCAAACTGATAAACCCATCAGCTTATATTCTCTTTGCTCTGATAAAGACAGATAAAATGTCCACAACCCTTATTAAGGCCAATCCTATTCTTTCTTGCATTCTCAAGAACTTTGTTCCTTACCAAATTGTCCTGCTACATAATCCCCCTGTGTCATCCACTGGTCATTTTCTATTAGGCCACTGATTCTCAAGGAGGGTATTTTTGCATGGCTAAGGACACCTGGCAGTGGCTAAAACCATTTTTGGTTGTCCTGAGCAGGGGTGGCTACTACCCTCTACTACACCGGGGCCAAGAATTTTAGTAACATTTTAACGTTCAGTAAATTCTGTATAGATGTGTACAGAATATATCTCCCCCAACAAAGAATTTCTGGGACTGGGGAGCTAGCTCGGCGGTCTAAGCACCTGCCTAGCAAGCGAAAGGACCCAGATTTGATACCCAGTATTGCATGCCATGCTGGCCCTGTGCTGTGCCAGCCACCGAAACCAGGCATGGTGCATGCCTGTAATCCGAGTGCTGGGGAGGCTGGGACAGGAGGATCACTGAGTCCGAGCTGTGTAGCGAGACCCTGTACAAAATGCATATATATATATATACATATATAAATAATTTTTTTAAAAAAGGAATTTCTGGCTAAAATGTTACCAGTGAC